TCATCGACAAGACAGGCCGCGAGTACAGCCTTTCAAGTCGAATTTATAGCCCTACGGCATGCATACACATGGAACGCGCCTGGAGTGTTTTGGGCGTGTAACCATGCAGACAAGTCAGCCAAGTGGACGAACACGAACCCAAATCGCGATGCCTTTGACAGCTTGGCAGGTCGTGATACCTTGCGCATACCTTGGAGAGGCCTTGGGACTTTGCACAGAAGCAAAACATGCAACTTCAATGTCTCTTTATCATTTTAAAGTACTACCAGGTATCTGGATCGACACGTGGGTGCTCTCGACCAGATCCAGCAACAAAGCACAGCATCACCTGACGGTCAGCCTTAAACTGATGCCATCGTGTTGGCTGCAGCAGAAGATGCAAAAGAAAGAACAGCAATGAAGGCAATTACCGAGCGGCTCGCCCCGTCTGCACAATCATTTATTGAACCAATTTACTACTGCGCAGCCAGAGTGTCAAGCGTTGGTCTGGTGGTACTCCGTACCAATGGTACGAATCATGGTTTCGTGGCCACCCTCCTCGGCTGGTCTCGAATCTCTCTCTGGAGTACTATAAGCCGCAAGAGCCGACACAATAAAAGGTGTAGGTAGAAGACGGGGGAAACGGGCATCGTTAGAGCTCACGGACGTACGTGCGCATACAGACAGGACCAAGCAAGTGATGGGACGCGATGGGATATACCAACGTCTACTGAGACGCAGGAACATGTCGAAGGGCCAACAGCAAGACAACATTCAGTTGCCCAGAATAATGCGGCATCCGATTCTTGTATGTACCAATGCAAAGCTCTCGGAGCGGTTATCCGTACGGGTTCGCACAACGGACTGTTGCCATGGGGTTGCCCAGCCTTACGGCGCAACCTAGACCGCCACCAGAGTCGAAACGGAAAGAACTTGTCATTGGTCCCTGTCCAAAGAGAAGGCTTCTGCTCTTTCCGGTTCTTTACTCGCCCGGAATAAAAGACGATAAAATGGCCAGGGTCCCATTTCCGGCAAGGCATCTACCTATGTTTCCTGAAGAACGAGTCAAGACATGAAACAACAACCGGCGAGGTGTAATTTCATTTCTCTCTCCGAGTTTCTTTTTACGCTTCCCCACCGTCATGGCAGTTGCTATCAGGAGTTCAATATCCGTCTCGATCTCGAGTTCAGGGACCCTTCCACTCCATCAGAACCATGCACGCGGAGTAGGTTCAAGGCACCGGTTTGGGGGGCGTCCGTGTGTCCGCGAGGGCATTTCTTTGCCAGAACGGCCTGGCCACTGCCAGGATATGGTTACCACTTGAGGGGAAAACAGCCGTTGGGTCCAAATGATGCCTCCACATCGATGACAGTGCCATGGCCATGACCACGACCATGGACATGTCGTACTCTCTCTGTGCCGAGCCCGACGGCCACCATTTCCAATAACTCTGGGCAATCTAGCAACACTCCCCCTCCTCTCCCTCTTGATGTTCTATCCATGACTAGTTCATCAACCCCGTTGGCCCGTTCAGACGACAAGGGTGCTGCTGCCCTTCCGCCCCCCTCCGAAAGGCACCTTGTCTCCTGTCAACTCAGCAACCCGGACTCGACTCAAGTGCTGCCAAGCCCGGTTTCAATGTTTCCTTGGCCTCTTTTCCACTTTTCCACCCAACCAAATGGAGCGGCAAGGCGTTGCCTAGCCTCCAAGACGAGCCCCATGGTGATCTCGCCGTGATCAGTAGGGGCGTGCGTTGCCGAAACAAAGGCAGGCAAGGATGGGGATGTGCTTTTCGGCCGAAACCAAAGACGCGGTGGCCGGGAGCCCCATTGCAGACGAAAATAGAGTTTGTATGCTCCGGTCTGTCCTGTCAAGCTGGGCCACGGCTGTTCAACTATTGAGCTACCACCTGGCGTAGCGTGCTCGACCTTTCTCTTTCCTGCTAAGCCCCGGAGACTTTTTTTTTTTCTTCGTATTTTTGCTTTTTTTTATTTTTGCCTCTTGCCTTTTTCCTCAGCAGACGGCCCGGAAAAGCTCGCGGTCGTGTTTGCGAGAGATGGTCTGAGCAACGCTCTCTTCCAAATACATACCTCTTTTGGGGGGTTTCCTCATTTCGGCGCATTGAACACCAGGCTCCTTGAACACAGCTTGAGCTTGAGACAGCCGTTGACAGGATGGACGGGTCTCGAAGCCGACAGCCATCCCCCGGACTCTTTTCATACGCACGCTTCCCTCGCTATGTAAAATCCCGAGTGCAGCCTGTCCAATCCTTCCCATGGCCATGTTGCTCACTCTCCCTATTCGTCCCCTAATCATGCCCGCCACCCAATAGTAGTCGGGCTCGGCTTTTGTCCTCATCTTGAATGATGGACATTATGAATGAATCATGGAATGCGGAACGTATTTCCACGGAGCAAGCGGGAGTCTACGAAACCATTGTGAACCCTTTCTGCACGAGTATGTGCCCCATGCCGCCCGGAAAACACAAGTAGATGCTCTCGCTGTCATATCAAGAGAATCAGACCAAACAGGAACTTCCCCAGCCGCCGGGTAAGTATTGCCTTGCCGGCGGTACGCCCGCAGATGCCAATTTTGGGCTGGGGACTCCCTTCACGTAGCGGCCAGCAGGGATGGTGTACAAGACGATCATGACGTTTACCGTGTGACGCTTCTGGGGGCCTCTCCTTCACCTGACATATCGTGTCGAGGTATATTTGGCAGCAACCTTTACTAATCGGTTAGTCATGGCAGCACAGCCCGCCGGTTCCTAGAGTCTGCGGAAATTTTACATCCCTTTCAAGATGGACCATGCTGTAGATGAGCCGTGTCTTGCCTTGGCTAAGTCTGGGTACCCATCAGCGAGACCACGAAGCCTAGTCAACCGAGGTCTCGAGATCAATCAAGTTTCCATGGCCAACAGGGGCGTCGATGACATTGAAGGTCTCGAGATCAACAAGGTCCCTCACGATATCATGCCGCCAGTCCTGTTCTGCATGGACGGTAGGTCGTGCATATCGGTCAAGTAAGCTATCTGGAGCACATGGGGGACAATAAGAGCCGAAATATCCGTCTATTGGGTTCCGTGCTATCGATTATGTATGTAGACTCATCACAACGCTTTCAGCTAGGGGCTTCAAGCGGTGGTGCGCAGAAAAGCTTTCCAAGGGCACTTTGTCACCAGACCAAGTCGCCACATCTGCTAGCCACGCGTGGTGGTGGCTTCACGGTCGGGACGAGTGGCCGATCCATTTGATCTGGTCAAAGTTGCTGCTTTGTTCTTCGGAGCCAGTTCTTCGAAGCTATTTTTGCGAAGCGACCAACGAGCCTTGACTCTGACGAACTTTTGGTACGAAAGACAGTCGGTAAATAAGATCAGGTTCATGTAGTTGAGAATAAATGTACCTCGACAGATAAATATTAATTCCGGGCCCTACTGGGAAGATGGTAGCAAGTCCGGGTGTTGAGTTGGTCGTCGTTTCCACCTAGGCATTTTCCTTCAGCGTCATCCAGTCCGTCACGGTCCGCCGGATAATAGTCAAGCCAGTCAAGCTCCTACTACTTTTCCTATGCCTCAAGACCTCTGACCACAGCAGATTCCTACCGCGCCTGTGCTCGTATCTTTGTACGCAATGGCTTCTTGATTGTCTCCCAGGAATAGAGTCCATCGAGCTGCATCGAGTCGATTCTTCTAATACCCCCCGAGGAGTTCTTGCAAGGTCTACTTTGGTCAAGTTCGACGTGTGGTAGTTGATACATGCGGCGGTGCTTGACAGCAACGAGATCTATAAAGTCAGAGTTTAAGTAACGGCCAATTTTGATTGAAAATAACACGAGGTGTTGGTGGCCATTTAGTCAAAATAGGGCCAGGCGGGCTTTTTCCCCCCGTCCGCATGATGTTGTCTCCTCGCCGGTGCCAGAGTTGGAGAGCTTCAAGTACATGACGACAGGCAGGTTACCAGCCCGGTCAGGTCGGTAAATAACACCACTTGCTGAGAGTTGAGTACCAGCATTTGCACCCTCGATAATCACATTCGAGTTACTCGTTTGTCTCATAGCGCTGTGGCGCTGTGGCAATGGTGGTCAGCGACACTGTGCATAACTAGTGGCAGAATATCACAGCAGACCAGGCTCACCATATTACGAAGGATATCTCTTTGTTTTAAATGTCATAATTCTTCCCTTCATAACTACGTAGTAGACAGCAGAACATCGCCCAGCCTCCTTTTATTATACCAAACTCAATCCCCCCCCCGAAACCCATGATACATACACAATCAAAAAAAATCAAAAAAAAAGTGGACTTCTCATCTCAAAACGGGAGAGAGGGAGGGGAGGGGGAGATAATTACCAACAATCTGCAGGACGATTCTCCGCGGAGCAAACTCGACCCTTTTCTCCCTCAGGGCCGCCTAGCAGGGGTATCGGACCAAGTATTCTACACTGGCTTCCCATCCGCCAAGTATAACAACATATAAAAAATAGCCGCCCGTACAACATGAAACAAGGAAACAAGGAAAATGAATAAAATCAAAAGGCTCAAAGCACAATGTTCGCGGCGGGGTGTTAATTTCCTACGCCTCGCTGCTCAACCTGCATGCGAAACGAATGCACTGAATTGGGAGAAAAACAAGACCCACCAAGGAAAAGACAAGAAGAAAAGGCAAAAACACAGCCAACAAACCCCCTGTTGCATATTTGTATAATGATCTTGCTTGTTTCTGTTTCTTGGGCCGCAATGGGTTTGTCCCTGTTGGCAAGAAGTCAAATTGACGCGGAAGAAGGAAATATCGAGTAGCAGTTGCAATGCCAATGCCGTGTGTGGATGTGAAATGATCAATACTGCTGAGACTACTACTGATAGAGCAAGCTGAGCAGGACTGGAGAAGAGAGAAAAGAATAGCAAGCAAATAAGTCACGGGGCTCGAGGCAACAAAACCCCCCGAATTAGGTTCCAGCCGGGGGGGGGGGGGGGGAAGACACTGTGCATGCCACCTTTTGTTCTCAGTGCACACCCTGAGTCCTACGCTCCTTCAAGCGGAGGCACAAAGCCGCCGTAATTAAAATCAACCAAGCCGTCCAGCATCCAATGCTGTGGATCGAAAAAGTCGTAATTCGAATCGTAAGGCATGCCAGCAATCATTGTACTCGGGGCAGTTGCCGCTGCTGACAGGCCGGTAGCACCGGGTGTCAAGGCCCCGTTTGCAGTCAACAGGCTTGATGGAGGGAGAGGATGGGACGGCATGAGGGTGCTGTCAAGCTGCGAGGATGAGGCCGACGATTCGTTCGCCGAGTCCGGATGAGTAGGATGCTTCGTGTCTGGGAAGCAATTATTAGCAAAACCTCCAAAATAGCAGCTTTGGGGCTCCCTTGTGAAACTTGCCTGGGTAGTACTTACTCTCCAGGCTTCCTCGCCCTTGAGATTGGTACTCTTCTCTCCACCGCCAGACTGAATCAAACACTAGGCTCATGCTGTGACGACAGCGGACCTTGAGCTGCAGGCTATCATCCATTTGCACGGCCGTGTCATCGTCTGGATTGTAAGCATTGTTCCGGTTATCCAGACGAGCCCCGTTCCACATCTGCACCATCAGTTCAGCCAAGCGCCACTGCAGATCATTGTGAACCACGCTGGTCGCCCGGATAGCTTTGACAGAGTGGTGGAACAGGCTCCGACCGCGATCAAAATCGATTGTCTTGCAGAAGAACGATCTCATCAGCTTGAGCAAAGTGAAGCCAGCCGCAACAAGCATCTGTTGCAAATAATTGGTCGCATACAGCAAAATCGTGCCGCGCCCCCTTTCTCGCGGCGAAGTGACCTTGTCCACTTCGAGAAGCTCGTCGAGAAAGCTAGATGCCGCTCTCCAAAGACCCATGAGATCATCCATATAACCCGGAGTCTTGCTGGAATCGAAGAAGCCGGCCAGTCTCATGTGAAGTGCCGCGGCTCGAAGATGCAGATTGACAATCGGCCCAAGCTGCTGAGACATGACTGAAGCTTGGAGCTCGCCAAAGTCTCGACGATAGACTCGCATAAGCATGGCACGGTGTTCATCGCCGGCAACACCTCTGGGGTCACTGGCATTGCTATACATCTCCTTGGAGACCTTGTCGCAGAATCGCTCGATTTGAAGCCGGGCTTCGAGATCCGTTGACAGATGAAGAGCTGGGTCGTCACCAGGACGGAGGGCGAGCGTCCAGTCATACAAGGTCGATGCTGGCTGTCCGTATCCCGTTCCAATATTCTGCGCCACGATGTTGCATACCGCCCAGGTAGCGACGCGATCGGCCAGTTGCTCCTTGTTGAGTTCGACTGACACCCTCGAAAAATCCCTAATGTGATTCGGACGGTGCAATCCAATGCCAGTTGCCGTCTTCATCATGACACCGCAGAGGATATGCGTGGGGTCTGACGTGGTAGTGCTGGTGGGCAGCGGCCACGTACAGAGCAAACACATGGCCTTGACCACATGGTAGTTGCTGGGCACCTCGCCGATTGTTGTCCACAAGAACCGGGTCATTGGGCTCGACAAATTGGTGAGAAGATTCGGACAGTCCCTCGGGCTAAAGCGACGGGCCGCAACTGCGATAATGGACCAGAATAGCAGCGGGTGTTGTTGGTTATATTGCTCCGGAGGCTGTTGCGGGCTGAGAAAGGGCAAAAACGGGTGGTAGTAGGCGAAGAACTCGTTGAAAAGATGGGTGACATTGTCATCGGTCAGTCGAACGCCCTCTAGCTCGTACGAGTAATGTGGTGCGGCGTATGCGCCGCCTCTCTTGAGATGAAGAAGGGAAGAAACGGCCTCGTCCGAACCCATCAGGGACGTGTTGCGGGTGTGTGTATACGGCGTAGCGCTCGGGGCCACAGGGGAATTCATGTCGTCGTCATCGCCGGCTTCCAACACAAAGCCTTGGGCTTTTGCTCGATCAATGTTGCGCCGCAGTCGCTCAATCTCTTTTTCCATCTCGGCGTGCTTGGAGCGCTTGCCAACTCGTTTGAAGTTGGACTCGATCTTGCATTCGAGCTTTAGACGGTTGCACCGAGAGCAACTCTGAAATGGTTCCTGCACAACGTCGCACCGCAGCTTTACAAAAAGAAAGAAGAAAAAGATTGCCTGTTAGCGTACAACCGAGCAAACGGGGCGACGGAAGCTGGTGCTGTGGTGGTGGGAGGCCACGGCCGTCTTTGATTCCGATGCAACTCACCTTTTGTTGCCTGCATTCGTTGCAGGCTCTCTTTACGCCGGGCTGGCGTTTCTTATCATGGTCGCCATGGTCACCGTGATCGTCTTCCAAAGCGCTGCCGGGACTGCTCTCGTGTTTGACAGGCCCGCTTCGCTTTCTCTTGGGACCGCTCATGGGGCTCGTTGGGCTGAGAGACGCCCCTCTGCGGGCAACAATTGGAGAGCCGTCCATGCACCTGCGAAGGGCGCGACAGCGTCACAGCCGTCGCAGTTTCGAACAACAACTTGGAGATGCGAGAGGCGGAAACACGGAGGCGCTGCAGCCCAAGGCCAAGGATGGGTGCACGCTAGTTGGCGGGGTAGTTGCACGGGGCGGTATCGCGTTGCGCAGGCAGCGGGTGTAATATATATTGTGCGAGAAGAATGTTCACAAGACCAAATAGAGGAATTGGACGACGTTGTTGAAAGTACTGTCGACGGCGGCGAGGGAGGGGGGCCGACCGCGGAGGCGATGTTGGCGATGTATGGAGTGGAAGGTTGGACTCGACTTGGAGGTGGAGGAAAACCGACCCAGTCAATAAGTCTGTACGGAGTAGCGTCCAGTCACCAACTCGCAGCTCTTCTTCACAATGGGTTGAATGGCTGGCTGGCAACGGCTGCTGGAGCCGGGAGCGGGGACGAAACGAAAAAAAAAAGAAGGCGTGGTACGCCGTGGTGGGGGGGGGAGCAAATGTGGACTGCTTCCCTCATTGGCTGCCTGCTGGGAGACGCGTCACGTGTGGCACGCATGGTTGGTGGACAGCGGCGCCTTCAACCCCGTACTCCTTCCTGAGAAGGGTCGATGGAAACCGTCACCGGACTTTCGCCGCCGAAATGAGGCGACCACAACCCGGAAATGCAGGAGCATGTCTCCGTATAAATGGAGGAGGGACGCGAGCAATGGAGTGGCCGAATGAGGCTGATGGTCACGGGCAATTGGCTATGAGTGATGTAGGACGGATAGAACCATATAAAGGATATGTGCTATACACAGGCGAGGTTTGGTTACATGTTTCGGCGATTAAGCCACAACGTAGACGGACTTTCCCCGTTTTACGGCGTTCGATGCCTGCATCCTGTGCAGCGGTTCTCCATCCATCTCCACGTTTCAATGCTCTGCTCGGGACAACTTCTGCATACTCCGCAGTACGTACTCGGTAGGTGCTCGACCGACCGAAGAAGCATGCTTTGGTGCTGCAATCGACAATGCCACGCCTCTGACTGGCTGCAGCGTGTCCACTTCCCCATTTGTTCCTGCTGGGCATTACTCCGTACGGAGTAGATGGATTGGATTTTTTTTACATAAATGGTTATCCGGCGGCCCAATCACAATTCCTCGAGTCAGTCACCAGGTGCCAGCGCCGTCTTGGGCTGCCCGCCCGCGCCATGTCCTCATAGAGTCATTACAGTTCAATGTTGCTACCATGACCACCGACCACGGCAGCACGGCAGCATGGCAGTACTACTAGTATTGGTGCCTGAGGGCCCTCGAGCTTCGGGTGTCAGGCTCCATATCTCAGACTCTCAGACTCTCAGACTCTCAGGGTAGGGTCTTTGGTCATGCAGCTCTGCCTCGTCCCATCGTCTCGTCTCGCCCGGTACATACCCCAATCATTTCCAACTCTGTGCTGCATCCGAGGTAACAGCGGGTATACTCTGCTCAGTCAATAATAAAGTGTGTCTTGATGCCGTGTCTCGCAACCACATCTTGATACTCCATATACCAGAGAATACGCGGCCATTTCTTCAACACAATGGTCGAAGTTAAGTCTTCTCGTCCGCCACAGAAGAGGACTTTGAAACCAGCCCCCTTGCCTTCGACTTATGTTGAGTCCTCGAGATCCAAATCGGAGGTGCAGTTTGCCCTTCCAGCAGATCAACCACAAGTTGGTAAGCTCAGCTCTCATAAACAAAGATCTGCCAGCCGGCTCACCGTAGATGCAGAAACGGTTCGTATCAACACTTGTGCTGTCTCCCAGCCGTTACTGGAACCCGACGCTCTGCAGCGTTTCGGATGAAATTTGGCGGCTGGGCCCCTTTGAGCTTGAGTCTCGTGAGCTTATGAATATATGAATAATGCAAGTGGGCGCCGATATCCCATCAGTCTTCCATCACCTCCAGCTCGCGGTATGCTCGGGATGTAGTCTCGTGGCTCTCAAAAAAGACTGAACGGATTAATAGTTAGCACCATATTCCCTAACTCCGCCCATCAAGCCCACCCAAGCTTTCGGAAGCTCTCGTTATTGGCGGTGGGGGTCGTCGGAATCGATCCGAAGTCTCCTCGGATCTGTGCTCGGTCATACTATATCTCATTGCTTATTCAGTTCACAATTGATGGATTGAACCTCCAGCTTGGAATAATGCGGGGCCCTGCAACCCGCAACTGCCGATCCCCCTGATGAGGCCTGAATCATTTAAATGGCGCCGGGAGCATTAAAGCATGACACTTGCTGTGCCGACCTCTAGAAATCGTTCGTTCGTTGCGCTTCTCCAAGCCCGCAAACGGTGACGCATTCCAGGAACTGCAATAGCCAAGTGTCACGCAACTTGTCTTCTTATTCTATACAACTTCAACAACCAGACGTCATGGCGACTGCTGGTGTTTTGCCGCTCGTCATCAATGGCCAAGACTACTTCCCAGACAAGACCTTCGACGTCAAATCTCCATCTACGGGCCAGGTCATCCACAAATGTGGTGCTGCTTCCGTAGCAGATGCCGCAAGAGCTGTCGATGCCGCGGCCGACGCTCTCAAGTCATGGCGCAAAACAACGCCCTATGAGCGACAAGACATCTTTCTCAAAGCCGCCGAAGTTATGGAGGGCCGTCGCGACGATCTTATCAAGCATATGACTGACGAAACTGGAGCTACGCGAGGCTGGGTCGACTTCAACATCAGCAGAACAATCGACCTCCTCAAAGACACCGCCGGCCGCATCCCAACTATGGAAGGCTCGTTTCCGCCAACAGTTGACCGCAACAGAAGTGCAATTGTCATGCACGAGCCTTATGGTGTCGTGTTATCCATTGCACCATGGTAAGAGATCCAGGCCCCTAGACGCACTTCCCCAAGATGAATCACTCACATTTCAGCACAGGAACGCCCCGTATATCCTTGGCACCAGATCGATTGCATATCCAATCGCTATGGGAAACACTGTAGTCTTCAAGGCATCCGAGCTGTGCCCCAAAACCTTGCGGGCGATTGTCGATGTGTTTCATCAAGCTGGACTTCCTAATGGTGTGTTGAATATGATTGCTCACGCCCCCGCCGACGCGGCGGCCGTTACATCTTCCTTGATAACCAATCCGCATGTCAAGAAGATCAACTTCACGGGCAGTACCAACGTCGGTCGAATCATTGCAAAGCAGGCCGGGGAGCATCTTAAGCCAGTAGTCTTGGAACTCGGCGGCAAAGCTCCAGCCATAGTCTGGGAAGACGCAGATTTGGATCTAGCTGCCAAACAATGCGCGACGGGCTCATTCTTGCACAGCGGCCAAATTTGCATGAGCACAGAGAGAATCTTGGTGCACAAGGCCGTAAGCGATGCTTTCCAGCAGAAATTCGCCGCTGCGGTTGCGAATATGTTCCCTGTTGATGGAGATGCGCCCATTCTCATCAACACCGCCGCGGCCCAAAAGAACAAGCAGCTCGTTTCTAATGCCACTGAGCGCGGGGCAAGCACCTTGTACGGCGACATCCACGCTCAGGAAATTAGTCACAACAGGCTGCGGCCCGTCATCCTGAGCGGCGTCACTTCCGAGATGGACATTTACAAGACGGAGGCTTTCGGACCTACCGTTTCAGTAATCGAGATTGAATCCGAGGAAGAAGCCATCCGTATCGCCAACGACACAGAGTATGGGCTGACGTCCGCCATTTTCACTGAAGACCTAAGAAGAGGGCTGCGTTTCGCCGCGGAACTGGAGACTGGTGCAGTCCATATCAACAGCATGAGTGTTCATGATGAGACCTCATTACCTCATGGCGGCACCAAGGCAAGTGGTTATGGACGATTCAACGGCTCAATAGGACTAGCTGAGTGGACAAGGACCAAGAATATTACTTTTGAGAAGTAGGCAGACACTAGTCTTGATCGGGAGTAGTAGGGAATACTTGACAGACACAATCAAGAAGACTGAAACTACATGATGTCACGCATAATAAAACAATGCAATACAATCAAATAAAAACTTTAAAACTCATTCCTGGCCTCATGTTCATTAATATTTTCAATACCAAACATCCATCCATCCATCCATGCAGAATCCCAACCACCGATCCTACCGGGTAACCAACTCACCAAGGCGCCCCTACTCCCTTCCTTCTTATCGATAAGCATTCATCATAACGTAAGCACTCCATCACCACCCTAAAATTTATCCCCCCGAGGCTACGTCAAGGCCAGCATCCCCCCATCAACATACATAGTCCCAACCACCATCCCTCCTTCCTCAACGACAAAAAGACAAACAAAAAACACCCGCCCCGACCCTCACACACACCCCGGCCACCGCCAACATGTCCTTCCTCGGCATCGGACGCCAGCAGCCCACCTCGGAGCAGAAGATTGCCGCCGTAGAAGGCGAGATGCGCATGATGGCAGACACATACAACCGGTACGAAAACCGTTGCCCCCGCCCCCAAAACTTGAACTGAAGGTTTAATGCTGACGGGGGTTAAAATCCAGTCTTCAAAAGACTTGCCAGAAAAAGTGTATCCCTACCGACTACCGCGAGGGCGAGCTGAACAAGGGCGAGTCGGTGTGCCTGGACCGCTGTACGGCCAAGTTCCTGGATACGTCGATGAAGGTCAGTGAGATTATGCAGCAGCAGGGCCAGGCCATGGGCGGCGCGCCCCAGGCCGGCGGGGGCTTGTTCTAAGCTGTTTGGAGGAGGGGGCGCTCTCCGGGGTCGAGATGAGGGAGGATTCACTGAATAGGAGGCGGATACGGGGGAGACGTTGGGAGGGAGGGACTTGAGCTCGGTCCGGAGCGGGAGCTAGTGTACGAGTATAGACGGTTGGGATACTTGATGCGGATGGGCATCGCGATAAAACGATTTGTAAATTACTCGATGCTATCTATATAAACTATCATGATTTGGGACTTCGTCTCCCCACCAACAATAATGGTATCCATCTTGAAATTCGACAAACGCCTTGTATCTTTCGATATGCTTTGCTTGAAATAAAAAAACAAATGGTAAAATCTGCGCCTTGCTTGAAAAAAGAAGAAAGTGATGCGGCAAAACATTACTGCATGGTGGAAAACCCATTACGGCTCCCGTGTGATGTTGGGTCCAGTCCCTATCCCCGTAAGTGTGCGAACAAACCAGTGAGGCCAGCTTTCTGTCTCAAGCGTCGCCTTCAACTCTGCTGCTCTACTCTCCACGTCATCTACTTGCCGCTCAAAATTCTGAATGCTGTCTTCAACATCGGCAACTTTTTGGGACAGGCCGTTGATTTCGTATTCCAGACGCGCCAGGAGCACTTCAATTTCCTTGACGCTTTCGGTGAGATTTTCACGCTGTTCACTTAGGAGCTCGTCCGAGTTGTAGTGAATTCGTTGACAGGCCTCGTTGAGCCGATGATATATGCCTTGTAGCTCAGTTTTGTCCTGACCGTATCGCTCGTTGAGGAACTCTACTGCTCTAATCTTGTCCTCGACCCAGGGCCCGACATCGCCAACAATTTCTTCAATAAGATGATTCAGATGACTGGCGGCTTCTGCATGAGCTTCGACGCAAGTGAGGTAGTCCATCGTCTCAGTCAAGTCAATGACTTCCTCCCACGTTAAAATGGCCTCTTCCGCGTCACTGAAGGACATCCGGCGCGGCCAACGGCTCTCATTTGTGATGTGCTTCGTGGTCAGGTCAGCAATTCCGCAACTGCGACGCCTTGCAACGGAAATTTGCTTGCGGCACGGCTTTTGTTCCTTCTCTAACAAAGGTCCTCGGAGATTATTGTCGTCCTTAACAGACGGTGCGGGTGAAAATCCCTTGTGACTGACGCCTTTGCGAATCTCGGAACCGATGCGACTAAGGTTGTTGTCCGACTCCCCGGCGGCCAAGAGCTCGTCACCAGACTTCTCGTCAGGTTTTGCATCCCTTGCTGATGTTCCGGAGTATTGCGCATCATCATTCTGACTGGGCAGCACGTCATCACCCCGCCTGATGGCTGCAAGATACTCCTCTGGTTTGTTCTTCCAAGTGAATGCGCGGGCAATAGGGGGATTAGGTGTCGTGACCGAGGTTTGTGAAGCTGACGGCAGCAAGGCGCTTCCGTTTCCTCCATCTGAGAAATCTTCTTTTGCAGATACGGACAACTTGCTTGCATGGCCTTTTCGGTTGCCACCCACGGCGTCTTTTATGCGACCAAGACCAGAGCGGGCATCGCTCATTTTATCCGCCACGCTTTTAAAGACTCCCCTGCGGAGTGTATCTCTCTCGCCTGACGCATCTGCCATGTTGCTGACGGAGCCGGGTGAATAGGTGGGATAAGACGCTGCACTATTGTCTTCTTTACGCCGACCCCCCAACTCCTCGTCGAGAAGCAAAGCGTGTGTCCGCTTTGGCATAGTATCAGAAGCCTCACTTTTCCCAGAAGAAAACATGCTGCCGAGCTCTGGATCGCCGCTACCAAAGGAATCAGCGACAGACCTTCGGGTCTTGCCATGCCAAAGCCATCTTGGTCGATCTCCATAGACCAAGCTGACGAATCTGTCAATGTCCACTGTTTCGATGTCCGCCAGACCACCCTTGTCTTTGCCCGAGACCATGTCTATGACAAGTTCACCCCTCTTGCCTCCAATTTCAGTTACGGTAGATTTGACCGCTTTCTGCACTCCCCATCCCTCAGCAGCGGCACCTTTGGCAGTCGCTGTATGCAAACGGAACACTGTTTGTCGGTCAAGGCGGCGTGTTTTTTCCAATTTTTGTTGCTTCTGAAAGTAAGCCACGCCTCTCTTTGTGCACTCAATCTCGAACACATCCTTGGAAACTGGTGCGCCGTACCAGTGCAGTCGATTCCTTGCCCCCATCAACATGCCCAGTAATGCTGATACGGTACAGGGACCAAGGATTCCGTCAGTAGGCTCAAAGTTGTAGTGCTCGGCACCAACTTCTGTCCACCAGTTGTTGATTGCTTTCTCCGTAGCATCGCATAGTAACCCGTCAATGTATTGGTGGTCCAGCTTCTCAAACATGTACAGTGCAACCTGACATAGCTTGATGAGTTCGACGACAGACTGTAGAATAGGAATACGGTCGCTTGTCTTGTAGAGCTGGTGAAACTTGGCCTGTGTTGCTTCAGTTGGGTCTGTCAGTGCCAAGCCGGAGCGGCCTGAGCACCCCAATCGTTTGAGATTTTCGTTTACAAAGAAGACTTGACGATGCTTCCGCACGTCTCCATCCGGGACCGGAATTACGGTGAGAGCTGAGGGGAAGCTGCTCAAGTTCGTAATCATCAACTCTCCCAGGCCCGTCTCCTTGGGGCGCGAATTGTGTTGATTGGCGGCTTTGAAGTATAAGCGTAGCCTCGGAGACCAAAGATTTTGATCTTCTGGGATGGAGACAATGCCAACTACTATACAGTGTTTCTCGTCTCCAGTGTAGGTTGTGATGACTACGGTCGGTGATTGGCGGGAGCATGCCCACTGTTCAACCACGTATAACTCATAGCCACCAAGAATGCATCGTTGTTCGATAACAGATACGCACGGGTCTTCTTCAATGAACCTGAGAAATGAGATGATGTCAGCACAAATTGTTGTCGACAGACAGCATGCAATGCAGTTTCAGATATATATGTTACCGGCAAGCCAAAGGGTCAGGCAGCACCAGGCGTCGTTGAGGTACCTGAGGGCCTTGGGGAGTGGATGACAGGCCGTCTAGGGTCCGAACTGGTGCTAGATCTTGCGAAATAATTGTTCTTTCCATGGGGCTTTCTTGGGTATTGTGAGGCGTTGCGTCCCTGGAGGGGGGAGAGGAAGAGTCATCATCTCGTCGAAAGCGTCCTCCCTCCAGGGGCAAGGGCGATAGGAAGCCTATGGGTGATGTCATCTGGTGTGACTGTCAACTCGTCACCCCGTCTATGACCAACGGTTCTGCTGCAGTTCCAACACGAGGGCTTCCCGAGGTACGCCCAGGTGGGCGAGGCCGACAGGCGGCACCTAGGTTCTTGACATTTGGCGAGTTCGGTAGTCGCGCTGCATCAGCAGGTTGGGCTGGACAGCTTGGGGACAGATGACGGTCAGTGTGTGGGATGGCATGTGATGCAGTTAGTTGTGGTAGAGTGGCCGAGTCGTTGAGCGGTTGAGCGGGAATCAATCCGAGCGTGGGAGCTGAAAGCTTTCCGAGACAAGGGACAAGACAAGGGACGGTGGGGGCAATGATTGGCGCTGCAGCCTGCAGCGGGGCTGTGTAGCTTCAACCGGAATGCCTTCCAGCGCAACAGCGAGTCCTCAGTCCTCCGTGATCCGTAGATTTTAAATATCAAGTTGGCTTCAATGTTGAGTCCGGCCAAAGACGGCACCGGAAGGCACCGCGGGATGTGCACAGAAGTCTCTGAAAGCATAAAAATTCAACGTTGAGAGCCTCAAGGAGTACGGTGAACTGCCAAACTGGGTGTGTGTGTGGCACTTGAGCGCACAAGAGCACCTGATGGGCCCAGCTTGCACACTGGCAGTGCCCCTCATCAAGTCTTCAGTCACAAATATGAAGAGCCAGATGGACCACGGTCCCATTCTCATGTAGAATAGTGGTACTACGGACTGACGCCCGCTGCCTATATATCTACGTCGTGAAGCCTCGTGGTGATGTGAAGATTGATCCAAGCATTCGGCTGTCGTTGAGTTGCGGGTCCAACAGTTGTCTGCGTCCACATCATCCCGAGCCTATCGATAAGCCCTCCCCCGAAAGCCGTCCGAGCAGGCGTGACCATCATCGACGTCAATCCCCAACCGAGAGACAACCAGCGAGCTCCATCCACGACAACGCTTCCTCCGCTTGCGTAACGGGCAGGCAACCCCCCGGGAAAAAGCGTTGCCGGCACGATATCTTGACAAACATCGACTCCACGACCTTCGCTTTCCCACCGTCGCCTGCACTCGGCATCAAGCTCTCAGACTAGCAGCTATGGCTGGAGCGGAGGACGACATGCCTTCGTCGCCCTTTGGGCCGCTGTTGGCAGAACTGGCTCGCATGCGCAAGTCTAATCTAAATGCAGCTATAAACGATGTCGACTCGATAATTGATTTACTCACGGCAGCACGGGAGCAAGTGGCTGGTGGTACGAGACCTGAACCCGCTGCTTCAGTCGCCCAGCATCTCATGGTGCACAGACATGACTAACCCTGCCGACAGATGATGATTCTCACAAGATTGGCATGGCCATGACGACGTTGCAAAACCCAGTCAAGGCTCGGTTTGAGGCCATAACCGAGGACTTGAAAGATGTGACCAAGGCTCAGAGAAGCTTTGGCAAGGCGCTGGACAGGGTGAGTTCTCCTAGAGTTCTACCGGCCTTGTCACCTTGAGCCGATAACATCTTCCTTATAATATGCACATTGAGATTAACTGATGTTCCAGGCTCTTCCGCATCGAGAGCTTCCCATGGAGACAGATGCCATGGCCGACCATCCCGAACTCATCAACCGAGCCATAGCGATGCACCTTTTACGAGAGGGTCAGTTCTCTGTAGCGTCAACCTTCCTCCAAGAAGAACAAAACCTCCGCGAACAAAATCACACCTCCGTTTTATCCCACAGCAAGAGGTCAAGAATCGACGAGGATGGCGATGATGACATGAAGAGAGATGACGACGGGGACGAGGACATGCAAGGACTGCACTCTGAAGACTTGCAGGATAAATTCTCCGAGATGTACCGTATCCTCGCACAGCTCAAGGAGCGTAATCTTGTCCCAGCCATAGATTGGGCGCGCATCAACAACCCCAAGCTGGAAACAAGGGGCAGCAACCTCGAATTCGAACTCAGCAAACTCCAATTCGTATGGCTCTTCAAGGGTCCTTCAGTCAACGGTCTCCCCGACGACGCCAACAACGGCCGGATGGGAGCTCTCGCATATGCCCGCCAGCACTTTGGCCGTTTTCAATCCCGTCACATAAAGGATATCCAACAACTCTCCTGCGCCATGGTGTACGCGCCGAATCTCGAAGAATCCCCCTACCGCCAAATTTTCGAAATCGACTCCGCCTTTGAAGATGTCGCCACCTCCTTCACGCGCGAATTCTGCTCCCTGCTGGGCCTCTCCGCCGAATCGCCGCTCTACATGGCCGTCACAGCGGGATCCATTGCTCTGCCCCGTCTCATCAAATACACAACCTATATGAAGGAGAAGAAGACGGAGTGGACGACCGAAAACGAACTCGCCTTTGAAACGCCCCTTCCGCCATCCATGATCTACCACCCCATCTTTGTCTGTCCCGTCAGCAAGGAGCAGACCACTGAGCAGAATCCGCCTATGATGCTCCCCTGCGGCCACGTCATTTGCAAAGAGAGCTTGCAGAACATCGCGGCGAAAGGTTCACGCTACAAATGTCCTTATTGTCCTACAGAAGGGCACCTACGTGATGCTATCAAGATTACGTTGTAGCCATATTTTTCTTTTTGGTTCATGGGTCGCATGCAGGAGGCATATCATCAATTTGGCGTTTTGGAATGGGCGGTAGCGACACAATTTTTTCTTTTTCTTTTGTTTCTTTTTTGCCCTTTCAATCACGACCTGGACCACGTTGACTGTCGGTATTGTTTCATGTTCTCTTGGTTGGCTCCGTGTGGTGCTCTTTCTTTATCAATTACCCCAGTGTTACGAGCTTGTTTCAGCCAGTCTTCAGAATACACGAGGAATCACAAGTAGATATAGCATATGATTTGCAGAGTCGCGCCACATTTTGTCCTCGTTTCAAGCAGGTGATATTATGTCAAGTGTTATTGTTTTATTTTCATGACAAATGATGATGCAAGCATGGCACAAGTATCGTGTAAGCATAATATCCGGAAACATACCGAGGGAGGTAGTGCTGGGCTGTGCGAAGCTGAAAAACGGTAAAAGACCAAAGAATACACCGTCTGCGCATCATGCGTCAGACACGCTAAGTCAAGTTATCTCGCGATAGCCTCAGCCACTGACTGCATGGAAGTAAACGTAATCCCATATACACTCTATACCAGTGACTCACTCTAAAAACTTAAAATGGCCAGACATATTATATAGTAGGGAGGTCTCGTCCGCATCCCAAGAGTGCATCCTATTTATTTCTCTCCGGGACTTTTATCTCTTCTACTATAAAGATATAACGCAACCACTCGTGAGTCCTCGCCACTGTAACGCTACCTGAAGCACCGCAACTTGCCGGCATTGGCCACAGCAGTCAAATCGAACAACAACTTGGCCATAACGCGAAAGACGATGGCCAACACAAGTAAGTTGCCTGTTATAAGCTTCAGCGATTAAAGCTGACGAGATCCAGGGGGCAAAAAAGACACCGCGGCCGGTATTAACAGCGATGCCCTTTACAGTAAAAAGAAGGCCAGCTTAAAGGAAGGAATTCAGGAGAATTAACCAGGCCATTAAAGATTAGAAAGAAGGCGGAAATAAGGGTAGAGCCAAAAATAAAGCACCAAAAATGTAAAGTATCTTAACAGGCACTTGAGGCATTTAAAAAAGGCAGCTGACAGGTGCCTTAGGTGCTTGTTTAGCTATATTTTTGGTGCTTTACTTTGGCTCTGCCCTTAGTCGCGCCTTCTTTTCCACATCTTTAATGGCCTGATTGATTCTCTATTATGTAAATGTAATGTTTAGTCCTTATATTCGTAAAAGTACAGCCAAGGCTGTCAAGGAGAGTTCCAAGGAAATCGTCTATCAAATCCCTATCCACCCGAATTCCAACCAATCCTATCCAACCTTTTGGTGAGAAAATTGCTGATGATGCTAGACCATCAGTCCCCCAGATCGGAACCCAGCTTGGGGTGTATTTCTGACTGGAACTGGCCCCCAGAAAACATCGATAATGTAAATAATGCTCCACTCACTCTCGGCACGTGGTATCCTGTAACTCCCCGTTGCTAAATTCTGGAAATGGCACTAGTGTCTGTCTCCCACAGCCGACGCCAATACTCAATGAGAGGTCAAGGAAAGACAAAAGAAAAGGAAATGAGAAACAAATATCCTCGAGTTGTTTCGATCAAAAAGATATGATCGGTCGCTTGGCGCCCCATGAAATGCGCACATACGACAGTGGTCGCTGCCATCGTGAAGCCAGCCCCACGATATACGAGCTTTACGACAGATGATCTTTTGTTTTCGGGTGCTCGTAACTCGTAGCTTTGTACAGACCCGCCAATTTACTTTCCAGGGGTATCCAAACTTTTTTATAGTGTTTTCAATTTTGTTTTTTTTGGCCGCATCTGCTTTTTCTTTGACGAGGGTATCTAGTCAATGGTCATGCGGCTTGGTACCTGTGGCTTGACATCGTGGAGGCTGATTGAGGTGGCATCTGGCTTTTCTTCAACCCTTCGCGGAGCCAACAGGTGAGCCTTGAGTCCCTTGTTGAAATTGCTCATGCAAATGATGGCGTTCGTAATAGTGAGGATGATCAATAATATGGTGATGACGGCAAATGCTGTAAGCGATTTGCGGACGGCAAAGTAGGAATCTTTGTGACTGGGTTGGTAGATGCGAACAAGCTTGAAGACGAAGTAGGATGAACCACCCAGAAACAAAATCATGACACAAACCATGCCGGGCTTGTTCTCTCGGCGGGTAAAGTATGCCGCGGCAAGGAGAATGACAATGGTAATTGGAATGGTGGCAATCGTCAAGGCGAACTCCGGATCAGATTTTTGAGCGACAACGACGACGAACTGAATAATGAAACCCAGGAAGAAGAAGAAATCGAACTTAAGAAGCGCAATGTAAATCTGGGGAATCGCTGTTAACTATCAAATTTATAGCAATTGCAGTCCTTGAGACGAGACATACCTGATAATGAAGAAAACGCTTCTTCATGCGATAATCAGCACCGATGTTCTTCAAAATATCCCATGCAAATTCTTGATACAGCTTCCAACAAATGAAACCCATGCAGATAGATGCAAGGCCAATTACGGAAGGAATTGCAATGAGAAATGCTTTGACTTGAGAGAAGAGCAGCGTTGAGGTAACGCCGACCTCAAGAGCTGCGTGCTCATCCAAAACTGTAATGGCCATCTGAATCTGCTCTACTTGAAGAGCAGTGTAGACCAGAAGGGCCAAGTTGGCGATGCAGACACCAATGACCTGGATTGTGTTTTTCTTACGGAGGGCATCCCAAACAATGACGAGTTCGTACAAGAAGCCAAAGATGAAGAGGGTCAAGAAGGTCGGGATAGTCTTGTACTGCGACTGAACCTTGTCGACGTTGACAGGCGGGCCTAAACTAGTTTGGAACTTGGCAAACACGTAGGATTCGAAGGCAAGACAAATAATGGCTTGCAATGTGGTGACGGCCATGAATGCCGCTGACCATTTGGACTTGACGAATTCCCAGCCATCGTGACGTATACTCGTAGCTGGAGCAGAAGACACAAAGCCCTGTCGACCAGCGTACCCCTGGTCGTAGTTGTTTAGATTCGCATTCTCGGCGTATGTTGGCTGGGTATAGGTAGGCTGAGTATATTCCGCTTGGGGGTAGGCAGGTTGGGGATACGCTTGACCGTAATCTCGAACGTACTCGCTGCTTTGTTCACCGTACGATGATGACTGGCTATAATGCGGCTTGTGTTGAGAAAAGCCCGGGTCGGCACCCAGCAGGGACTTGCGAGACTCGAGTCTAGCCACCGTGGGCAACTTGTCGACTCCAACCGGGAGTCGGGCGGATCTGTCGATGGTGACTAATTGCGCGGGAAATCACTAAGACGAGGGCCGCTATTGCGGGAGCCGAGTCGCTTCCGTGGTTTGCGAGGTGGAATGACGGACGTGTTCGTGAGGTGACAGATTTGGTGTGTGATCGAGTCGGTCTGGTCACTGTGGGAATCGAAGACCCAAGTACCGCACGGTGCTAATTGACAAGATTGTGCTACTTCGAGTAAGACGATGTCGGGACAGAGAGAGCGACACAAGAGCGACCAGATTGAGGTCTAGACGAGAGGATAAGGAGGTGAGTAGCGGAAGTAGGTTGATGTTTTAACGAAAGACTAGGATTGAGAGGATGGAAACACAGGAGGCCTTGCGGTAGGGGTCCTAGGATGAGCCGTGTGAAGTTTTTGGATGGATGTCAGTACTGTGGCGGCGGAACGGAGTAGGCAGTGAGTGGGCAGAGAGGGCAGAGGGCAACGGGCTACAGCAGGCTGGTGACTTGAGCCGAAGACGCCCAGGTCCCAAGGCGCACTGGCCAAGTGGGCTGTGTTGCGCGGTCTAGGGGGGAGGCGGGTTGAGGACCTCAATGTTCATGACATGCTGATCTGGACCCTTGGAACTCGGCTTTGGTGGCGCTGCTGGATGGGCAGCATGGACGGTGGCCGGGAGGTGCTTGCATCTGTGTGCCTGTGCCTGTCAGATTGTTCACAGTAGGGAGCAGAGCACTCAAGTACGTCGCCGAAAGGTATCAACTGGCGTCTTGGCCGGCCCCACTCATCAGTACCATATTCGTATGTGCTTGAGTGCGGAGTACTCCGTACACGGAGCGGCATCCCCTCAATTAAATAAATATTTAAAACGTCTAAGATTGGCGAGCCCTTATTTTTTTCTACAAAAAAAGTAAAGTGTTTATAGTAGATGGTTGATACGGAAGAAGTCAGTTACTAGAATTCATGACCAGCAGAGTCAGGATTCCATGGTGTACGGTGTTGTTGTATGATACTGAAACGGTAGGGGCAGCCAGGTCCACGTTCTGCGGTCGTTCTTGCCAGTGCAAGTGGGGGCTGCTCTCCCTCCCTTGCCAGACACTAGACTGCCATACCAGACGTGAGGCTCAAGTGCTCACTTCAATTTTCGGCCATCCACACGAGCGGCACTGCCACATCTTTCAACTCTGCCGCCATCAATTCAATTTTATTTTTATATGTTGTTTTCCAGCAAAGGGAAAAGAGCGAACAATTCAATAACCTATGATGTCTCTGTCGAGTACAACATGCCCATAGGAACGATGCATCATATTACGTATTCGCCCATACAACACAACCAGCCCACATTACGATCCTGTGTCTGGCTGACACGTCAAACAACTCGTGATCCTGCGTCCCCCGACCTGCGACCTGCCACACCTGCTGCTGCCCATGCGTTCCTGTGCAGGGCTGGATGGATGGGTGGCTTGGATGGATGGCCAGCCAGCAAATCAATGGTCCGACTTGGAACTGCACTCTTGGCCTGGCTCTCGCTCATCTACGGCCCATATTTTGAGATGTGCCTGTCCCTCTCTAGTGGCCCGCCTGTGGATCATCGAGCTTTCGCGTGGCACTGCTGGTGTGACAGTGGCAGGAGAGAGATTGGGTGACTGGAGAGAGGCTATGGAGGAGTACTCCATACGGCGCACATGCAGACTGCCCAAACACTGAGCAGACAAAGCGCTCGGGGTCACTGCCACGATGGAATGCAAAGTACGGGCAACATCGAGTTCGGACGCATTACATCACTCTATCCTGCCGCGTGCATTGCGTCCGGAGTCCATCCATCCACTGTATCACTGGGCTTGGTGCGGAGTACCACACGTCTGAAACGGCAGTTGAACCAGAAATATTCCTCCCCTTTTGCCCCATACGCAGACAAGTCATCATGTTTGGTTCTGCCGCCGACCGTGACAAAACGTGAAGTTGTCAACGGAATCAAGACCAAGGGAAGCAAAGGAGGGCGACTCAGGACTTGGACAACTGGAAAAGACAAGCAATCACGGCGTCGGAGACGGCGACGCGGTGGACAAAGCATCCTTTTGGTCCGAGAGAAACTGAGCTGCTCCATAGGAATCCGGTGGCATCACTGCAGCGCGCAAGGCTCGCGCAGCTGCATCAAATATCTGTGAATCAAGTATATAAGTTATTGGCCGACACAGCGTCAATCCAGTCCGGGAGCCATTAGAAACCAGAGGAAATCAGGCAACCATTGGTAATTTTCTGGCGGCTCTCTTTGGTGGAATGAATGCCCGCGCACTCTACTGGCCCTCCGGCAATATCACTCTGTCGCTGTTGCAGGGCTTCAAGGAATACATCACGGCGACAGTGGACACTTGGCTGACGTTGACAATTGCATGGGTAGTTACTAACTGGCCTGCAAGCTGCAAGCGATGCCTCATGTCGTTATTGCCGTCGTACCGAATTTTCGTACGACCCAGTTGGCTGCGGATGCTAAATTGAGTAACAATCACATGCATGCATGTCAATATCGGTCACATTGGGGTCCTTCCGCCAAAATTCAGCTCCGATATTGTGTCCGGTAATTGCAAGAAACAGCAGAGAGCCATCTCGGAGAGAGCTTTATTTGAGAGTGCTGACAGGCTTGAGGCAAGGCGCAAGTTATCTATCCCCTTCGCATCTTGCCTCAGCCTGTTGCGGCCACCAGACGGCCTCCAAGCTCGGGGCTCGGCGCCAATCCCGGCACCTATTTCTTATACAGGGTCCCAACCCAGAGCAATGCAGGCATCTTGTGCCTTGCTCTGTACAAATGGAATCATCACATCCTAAGCAGTCGCGCGAGGTACCTCCCTGGCGACGGCACTGCTGGACTCGTCAACCATGTAATAAGTTACCCCGTATCCCGCTTCACCCACTTTTGCGCTCGTTTACCAAAGTCTAGGGCTCACCAGCCAGAAATGGCCGGGCGCTACCTCGGCGCCGTCTCCGGAGTTGAGGGAATAGTCAGGCCAGACTTTAGTGCTGTATCTTACCTCCCTAGCCATTTGTCGTTATACTTAAACCGAGGTACTCTCTCGATGCCGTTGAGCCCGCGTTGGTCCCCTTCAGCCCAGCGCCACCTCAGCCAGGAGTAAACGACAAGATCGTCGAGACAGCCAATTCGCCCAACTTTCCGAGCTAGGACCTCGGACCTTTGGACACTTTTGAAAGCTTCTAGTTTCTCGCCAGAGGGGCCCGACTGACCTCAACGGCATAGACACTCTCAACAGCTGTATATCCGGTTCTGTACGGAGTAATTGCAATGGTATCACCGAACGACTTTGTCAACTACCCCAAGCCTGTGGAAGGCCCAGAGACCAAATATGCGCCGCCTCCGGCCAAGAATCCAGTTTTGCGCGGATATTCGCTTGTCGCTGCGAGCGCTCTGTACGTGTTGGCAATGAGATTCGCCTCCATAGTAAGATATATGCTAACTCGGACCAAATGATGGGCGTAAAGAGTCTCTAGGTCAGGAATTCTGCAGCGATTCTTCTGGAATAATGCTGGATTCGGGCAGGTCAAGAACCTTTCAGTCCTGGATGGCGTTCCGCACACATTTGACGTGAGTCGATAGCCCCTGCATGTGGCATTCTACATGGCGCAGCGATGGCAACGGTGTTGATGGTTTGGCGATTTAGCCCTGCGTGACCCCGTTAGGTGAAACTGGCCCAGTGCTCGAATTTGAGCCTGCTCTTCTAGAAGCCAAACATGTCCATCCCAAAGCGAAGTACTATTCCATCAAAGATTATCATGAACTCTATAAATCCGGCAGAGCAACCCCTCTCGATGTCGCAAAGGCTCTTCTCCCCTTGACCAAACCGGGAAATGACAACAAGACCAGGTATGAAGACGCTTGGGCTAATAACCACGGGAACGACGAACTCGTATTTGAGTCTGCCCGGGCGTCGACAGAACGATGGGCTGCTGGCAAGCCATTGGGTATTCTGGATGGCGTACCAATTGGTGTCAAGGACGATGTGAATGTCAAGGGCTATGTCAACCATAACGGCATGAAGTATAATGCCGATTCGCCCTTCTTCAAGAGACAGGAGAAGTCTGCGTGGTGTGTGCAGGCGCTTCAAGATGCTGGAGCTGTGGTACTCGGCAAGAATCGTATGCATGAACTTGGTTCAGGTCAGTCCCTTCGCTATCTGTCGCTATCTGTTACATCGTTGTTAGCGACGACGAAATCATCATACTGACTTCATCTTTCACAGATACGTGCGGTTTAAATGTAAGCACCGGCTCACCACACACGTTTCACTTTCCATCCACCATAACTACTAGCAACTTACACCCAATATCATGTAGGTCGCGCAAGGGTCGCCGACTAACCACCTGAATACCGAGTACTATCCCGGCGGGTCTTCCTCCGGGCCAGCTTCCGCCGTCTGCGCCGGTGTGGTACCCTTCTCCGTCGCCACGGATGCCGGCGGTAGTATCCGCATTCCAGCCAGTTTCAACGGCTTATACGGCCTCAAGACGTCCCACCATCGAACGGGGTACATGGGCAGCACCATGTGCATCACAGGCCCCATTGCGGCCAACGTTGCCGATCTTACCATTGCCTATCGACTCATGTCGCAGCCCAACCCCGACGATGGCATCCAAGGTGTATTTGGGCGCTCTACGCCGCCTCCGCCATCTGCCAAGCGTGTCATGGGCGTGTACCGCGAGTGGCTGAACGCGGCTGACCCCGAAGTCATCGAGCACTGCAACAAGGCACTAGACTACTTCGCCAAAGAGCGAGGCTACGAGATTGTCGACATTTCCCTCCCTCACCTTGCCGACGCCCAGCTCGCCCACGGCATGATCTGCATCACTGAAATGGCCGAGGCGGCTCGACGAAGAACAGTCAACCCGGCAGACTGGCTCTCCCTCGTGGGCTCTGTAAACCGGCTGCTCATGACGGTTGGCCAGCAGACGCCGGCAGCCGACTTCCTCAAGTTTAACACCATGCGTACGGTCCTGATGCGCCATTTCGCCTTTCTGTTTCGAAAATACCCCGGCATACTCATCATGTCGCCTACGACTCCCCTCAACGGCTGGCCCAAGCATCCTGGTGACGAAGCACTGGGAATGAATGACGCGAACACGACATTCAGGAACATGATGTACATCTTCTTGGCGAATATGACGGGCACGCCGTCGGTTTCGGTACCCGTGGGGTATGCTGCGCCGAAACAGGGAGAGGGCAAGATTCCCGTCGGATTGATGGCTACGGGTGAATGGGGAAGTGAGGAGCAGCTTTTGGCATTTGCAGGCGAGGCAGAGGAATATTTGCACGGGATTTACGAGGAAGGCAGACGAAGACCCAGTGCATGGCTGGACGTGATGGCATTGGTGGAGGGTGATGCTGACAGTGAGAAGGTTGATGCGAATGGGAATGGGAGATCTGAGTGAGGATGCTGGAGTGTATGACCTCTGTGTGTATATTCTACATTTTGGTTTGTATATGAGTGTAGCCTGCGGAAGGATGTGATGTAATTTGCAAGTTGTCTGCATGGAGATGCGGCGTCTTCTTGACTCACAAATGATGTGCAGGCGACATCAAGGGGGACGAAAGGGGTTGGACCATGATAGGGTACGTGAGGACGATTGAGTCTATAGTGAGAGGGAAAATTATCACGCTTTATGGTATACATAAATAATATAGTTGCGTATCAAGTTGAGTTATTTTGTTGTTTTATTTTTAATACAAATGATAATGCAACCATCGTGCAAGCATTGCATCTGAAACACAATATTTGGCCGTACTAAGCCAGGGACAGTAAAGAACCAAAATACAAATATAATAGCGCCAAGAATACTTTTTTTGTGGGCAAATATATCCTGCCATGGACTGTAGGTTTGGATATTGCATTATGCCATGGTGCCAGGGCACTGTGGACAACTATGTCAGTGTATTCCCGATATGCGGTATGCTTAAAGTGGCAGGGTGGAATATAACGAGTCGGGCTTGGCTACTTGGCAATATTGTCATAAAAAGTGTCTGGTTCAATGAACGCGTGGCCGTCTTTGACGTAGTTGTGCATGGTCGTGTTGCTGAGACCGAGGCCGGGGCGAGCCACGATCCTGTTGCAAAAGGGTACGCCCTTGGCCCCTTGGGGTGTGTGGTTGTGGTCTTGACTCTTGGCCCATCTGTCGTGATTTGATGGGTTGGTGAAGGGCGACACGCGGCTCCCATCCAAAGTCAATGTCTTTGAACCGCCAGGAGAGCGTTTCTGCTACATCCGGAACGGCATCCTGCTGGATCAGGGTCAGTGCAGCAAGGTGATCGTATGTGATTCCTCTCTTCTTTGACCTATCCTAATATTCATTCGTGCCGGTACTACATCAGGTAAGGCTTCATTGTACACACACCCACCGCAGGCACAAAACGTAAAGCCAGCACAACGTTGTACTTCCCATGCGCAGGTAGGCCGGGATTTGGGCAGCTACTTCAATCTCTGATTTGAACTGGTCTGGGACGAGCGAGGCGAATTTCCGCTTGCCCGTCTCCTCGTCCTTGGCTTGCTAAGCCGCGGTAGGTGCTTGGCCACCGTACTCTATATTATGATATACTCCATTATATTAGTGTATCCTGCTTCGTAGGTAAATATATTCTGCCACGGGCCGTAAGGCTTGCGCCCACTTTTATTGATAAGAGACGAATTTGCGGTAGTGGCTGGGATACAATCGAGGTATTGTTTTGGAGTATAACAGTCGACTGGGGGAGCGTGTCTTCGCTTAAGCCGAGTGCTTCTAGCTTCTACAGGTTATAGGCTTAGGTGTCTTTTGCTTGTGCTACAGCTATTTTGCCCGTGGTAGTTACAAGGGATGGTGAGCACTGAGGAACTTGAGATGGAGCGAGACGACATGGTAAGGGGTTCCGGCATGGCCTTACATCGTTTATTAGAGATTGTAATAGTCAACGGGAATGAGGTATACCCCGTCTTGGAGCGTGCGTTCGGTGCGATGAGCAGCGTTCCATTCAATGCAGCTTGGATTGTGCTAATATTATTGACTTCCTTATCGAGCTTTTTGTGTATGACCCAGTCGCGAAGTCGGGACCAGCCTGGAATTGTTTTTGATGCAGGGCTATATTGATATTCGATACTCAGAGAGAAGTCTAGCAATGGAGATTAGTTATAAGCTTCAGCAAAAAATGAACCGAAGAAATAGTTATAAAAAAAGTAACATACAACACTGGGTATTCGCTGGTCGTCACCGACCCAACTACTAATCCAGCGCTCGCCAGGTTATTAAGGGAGATCAGACGGGATCCTAAGCTCTGCTGGCGGCTATGGTCGTATGTGTGAGGTAGACAAGTTTAGCATGCCTATAAATCGTTCACTTTATAGCTCTAATCTAGAAGTAAATAACAGCAGGCTCTCTCCCCACTGTAAGGAACTGGTCAGAAAACAGGAATCAGACAGGATTCGGATAGAGTCTGGTACGTACAGCATTGGCGGGGACAGGGAACTTCACACCTCCAAGAGGCACTGTGATTTGATCCTCAACCTTTTTCTCATAGGCAGGGAGGGCCTGCGAATCAAGTCGGAATCACACCATGACTCGACCGTAACAATAGAGGAGGCACATCCGATATTGTATAATTTGTGAGTTATAACAGGCAAACGCGAGGATATATGTAAGCTTCAATGTACTAATTCTTTCCTTCTGCATATATTCGTAATTGCTGACGTGCTGCTTTCGTAGGATTTATCTGGCAATAAAACAAAGCCAACCTCTGTTTCGAAGAGCCTTGCCATAATGTGTAATATTAATCCTTAAAGTAATAACTAATAGAATATCCTATGTAATATGCTTAAAAAAGTCAGAGAGCCTAATATATTAGATGAGCTCTTAATTAAATGGGTTACTATTAAGAACCTCCCTTTTTGTATTATTAGGAGCACTAGCTTCTAGAATATTATTCTTTATCTTAATCCTACTTTTAAAGGCTAAATTCCTTTAGTAATAGTTTAGGATAGACTTAATACCTTATATAAGCAGGTATAAGGGCTAGTTATAGAACTTTTTATAATAGCCTAGGGAAGAATTTATGTCACTTTTAATAGCTGGATATCTTATAATTATTTATCTTTACTAGGAATTAATATATTCTTTATTAATATAAATTAGAATTATTATAAGTTACTTTTTAGGCTGCTCTTAGTTTAGGGATAATATACTAGAGAGAATCTTACTAATAAGGTGGTAAGTGTGCTTATAAAGTTTAGGATTAATGCTTTAAGACTAGGCTACTTTGTCCTTAATAATACTTATAATAACAATATAGCTATAATAGCCCTTACTGGTGAATTTGACTTTAACCCTAAGCATTACTAACTTTACTGTATTAGCCATATTCTTAGCTAAGTGGTAAAGTAGTTAATTTTTGGTGCTACTGCTAATATAATAGAGACTAAAGATAATGCTGACTTTGACTTTAATATTGCCAGTAATGAGTTAAAGAAATTAAGGGGAAAAAGGGCCGGTTAGGCGGCTTTACGACTTTGTTGGCGCTATTAACCACTCTTCTTAGCTTATTTAACTGCTCCTTGAATGGCAGAAAGAAGATATCGCCTTTAGTAAACCTAGCCACATTAATAAGCTAACAGGAAGGCTTAGGAAGCCACTTATGCCAGTATCTAATAATAAAACCCGCTGGAACTTGAGGTATAAAATGATACAGCGTGCTAAGCTTCTTCGCTCTTATTTTTCTTGGTTGGTCATATATATCTAAGAGTAATAATAAGCTAGAAGACGCTGATTGGGATATTATCGATGTGTTTTTGAAGGTCCTTGGTGCCTTTAACGCTTTCTTAACCTGTCTCTAGGGCAATAATAAGCCTAATAAGGATAGGAATATCTGGTCTGGCGCGTTCTAGGAATACTTTTAATCCTTTGAGTTTCTTCTTAACCACCTTAAGAAGCTAAAAATAGATACTAACCTGGTTAATAGGCTAGACGCTAAGTCAGTTACTATGGTATAAAGCTATATTAATTTGGCTTAGGAAAAGCTAGATAGCTATTACTAGAAGCTATACTCTCCTGTGTATACTGCCGCTATTATTCTATATTCTTGTTATAGCTGGATAGCCCTTACAAAGCATTTTAAGGGTAACCTTAATACTAAGAAGTAGCTTATAGAATATAAATATTCTATAAAGAAATTATAAGAGGAAAACTATTAGTATATTACCTTAAAGTCTAGTAATACTCTTTTCTTATTATTAATATTAATATCTTATAAAAAATATAGTGAATTTAAGACCTTCCTTGACTTAGTAATATAATATAATAAGGATAATATAATAGCTATTAATAGTAGTATAAATCCTTTTCTTAATAAGTATAATAGGGATTATAAAATATAGAAGTATATAAATCCTAAGCTTTATTAAGAGAACCTATATTTATAGTAAAAAGCATATAAGAAAGAATACCTAAGGCTTTCTTATATAGTAAGTAATATTTTATTTATCCCTGCTATATTTATATAAATAAAATAAGAATTTAGCTCTTATAAGTATATAGTGGGTGTTACAACCTAGTTATAAGCTGCAGCGTAAGTTGCAGGTTAGGCCGGCTATATAAGCTATAAGATAATATAAGTATAATAGGTAATAAATTAATAGTTAAAATAAGCTATTAATAAGAGAGAATTTATTAATTATTTAATAAACTTTAAATAAACTAATAATATATATATAATT